GCTTGCTTTCTGAAAACACCGGTTAGCTTGCAGTTTAACGATCTCCACTTCAATATTCTATTCTCAGAAAATTGTAATTCATCGAGTGTTCATTTATGAGAGAGAGAAAGAGAGGCTATGTATGAATTACCACCGTTTTGCCGCGTTTCTCTATTAACAGTGAAGCTGTGGCTTTAATTCCTTTAGAAACACTGATGTTACCAGCTCCTTGTTGAGAAAGATAATGTAGCTCTTGAGCGATTAAGATATTTAGTTGATAAAATTGCGGGGCAGCGCTAAAAAGTTTGTTCCTGAATGTCTGAGTGCGGCCGCAACATGATCTGTGTGTGTGACTGAGCGTGTGTGTGCGTTAGATACAGTGAAGACATCGCATTAGTTTAGAACTCTTCTAATTTTTATTTTTTAATCGTAGAGAGTGTGCTAATTTGTGCAATGATAACCTACCAGCAATGTAAATATGATTTTTTTTTATATATTGGAATGAGTACATTACAATATAAATTTATTAGAACGAGTACATTATTATTTATGGGCTTAAAAACAAGATGCAAACAATCAGAATATACAATCTCTCGCTGTTGGTGCTTGTAATGATTTTTGCGTCTTTCTCCGACAGTTTAAATGCTTCCACACTGCTGACGTGTGTGCTGCATAATAAAGAGTGCGCGCCTCTCACTCTGCGCTGGTTGCTATTTGATCGCGTCATATCATTGTTCGGTACAATTTATTCGGTCTTTTCGCTTATTCTGAGCTTTTTTTGCTATTTTCGGCCGAATAATTTCGGTTTCCGAACTTTCGGTGCATCCCTAGTATCAGATGCATCACTGTCAGTTTTGTTGTTTGTAAAAGAATTGAAAATATTAGAAAATATTGGCATGGTCAATCATTGTCTTGTTTTCTGTGGCTATGTGTGAGAATGGTCAACCTTTGAGTGCATGTTACATAAGCTGTGCTCCAAACCCTAGTAAGCTGCCTGCTGCTTAGCACACTGCCCAAATTATACTGCCCAATGGTTATGCCCAAAGTGTACTTCAATTTTTATGCAAATGTTTGCTGTATGCATACAGCCGAGCACACAGACTTTCAAAGTATACTCCGTGTGATAGCATGCTGCATAATTTTGCTGTTTACCATTTGGGCTTAGCTTAACATAAGCTTAACATCTGAAGCACATCTAAAATATTCCCTAGGTAGGCAGCTCACTAGGTTTTGTAACAGCAGCTGGTCTTAATTTTTCACGACTACTAAGCACAAATAACTATCATATGCACAACCACTTAGTCACACTAAACAGACAGACTGCCTTATTTTGATCTCACAGTCTCTTCACTCCATATCCATTCGAAATAGAGTACACGTTTCATACAAACACACGACGGCTCCTCCGTTGTCTCAGTGCGCCTGGGGGTTTGTACTCATGTCCAGGATTAGTGGAGACACTAAAGAGGCTTAGCGCTCCTGCCAATGGGGGGCCACAGCAGACCTCGAACCGTTTCCTTCCTGACCTCTTCTGCTGCATTCCACTCACAGGATCTGCCCGGCAGGCCAGAACTGGGTCAATCCAGGGTTCGCAAAGGTCAGGTGATGCCTAGTGAGAGATTAGGATCACAGATCAGCCCTGCATCCATTATGTCCTCTACCTAATCCATGACTGCTTTTACTCTAGTCTAGGGGTGGCGAATGTCGGTCCTGGAGAGCCGCAGCCCTGCAGAGTTTTGCTTCAACCCTAATCAAACACACCTGAACAAGCTAATCAAGGTCTGAATGGTTACTAGGAAGCTACAGGCAGGTGAGTTTTAATTAGGGTTGGAGCTGAACTCTGCAGGGCTGCGGCTCTTCAGGACCGGAGTTCGCCACCCCTGCTCTAGTCTCTTAGACAACACTTTTTATTCTTGATTTAAATCTAGATAAAACGCTTTTCTTTATTTGTTTGTTTGTTTGTTAAGTCCAATAACGTAACAAGGCTTTCTTATTCCAAGTACCAATCGATTTTGCTTCCCGAGTACCATCTGTTTGAGTCGTGGCCTTCGGATGTTCACATGCATATTTGTGAAGCACACGTGTGGCTCGTGATGATGCGACTGCGTGCATGAACAGTTACCGTTTGCTAGGTATTAATGTAAATGCAGTCAGGTATGTGGCACGATTGTAAACGGATGGGACAAAAAACGCAGCCTAGATCTGTAAATGCAGCCTAGATCTGCCACTGTCTCTTACTGTCATCATTGCCCATAAAAAGAGAGAGCCACTCACTGCTCAATTTATTTGTTCTTGATTGAGTGTTTTCTTTAATTACATTAAAACATTAGATGCAGTATTTACTGAATTGAAATACTTTTAAGTATTTAAACTTTA